GCTACTGTCACAAATCCTTTTACTCCTCTATATTACTCACATGGTCCTGTCATGAGTGTTTCTTAAAGTTTTGCTCAAATAGTTCCTCAAGCTAATGTTTCATCCATTCTTCCTATCAATGTTGTCAACTATTTTGCTAGGCCCTCAATATCTATTTCACAGCCTGGTTATGCTCATATGATGCCTCAGCTTCTCCTTCACCTCAATTTGGCCCTCAAGCTCATATTGTAACACCCAAGTCTGATCCAACTTGAAATCCAAATGATTTGATTATTACATGGAACCATCAAAGTGGCTAATCATTTTTAAAATCATTTCACAATTTTCATAATAAGCATCCATAGTTAAAAACATAATCATTCAAGTTTTACAAAATGGGGAGCTCCCAAAATATAACATCTTAAATAAATGGGTTTAACAAAAGAGAGTTACGACTCAATTACACATAAGGTCTATGAAATCCATGCTCTCTAAAATAACCAAGATGTACTTTGAAAGCTCGATTGGATCTGAAATACACAATCTGACAATAAGCTCCTCGAACTAGTACATAAGAACTTGCAAACAGAGACAAATTTTGATCGTTGAGCTATGAGCTCAATGCCACACAAATAACTCTACTATACTACATACATCCACCAAATGAGTATGCTAGCAAGTATAGTAATGAAACATCAAAATGCATCAATCGTATAACATATCAAGCATCATGGAGTAGTTCAAGCCACAAAATCTGGTGGCAATGTAGTCTTATAACTAAAGTGCCTTAGCACGGGTACTAAAGTGCCTCAGAACTGATACAGAAGTGCATTGGCACTGATACTAAAGTGCCTCGAAACTGATAGGAACATATTCAAATATTTCTCATAAATAAATATTAAACAATCGTCATACGAATGAGTAGCTCAAATGTCCTTATAGTTTCTGATATTATCATCACAAGCAGCAGTTCAATTGAATTAAATGATGTTATGGCTCATATCAACTAAATTAAAAGATTTGGGAGAACTAGGTTTCTTCCTTAGAATGAAGGTTCAACAAGGCTCTTCTAGATTGTGGCTAAAAAAGTATATTGAGGAGCTTTTTGCTAAAGCTGACATGAATCAATCGAGGCCCACTACAACACCTATGATTGTTACTCCTAAGCTTAGAGGTAATGATGGATAGGATGTTGATGATGCTCATCTCAACAGAAACATAATAGGAAGGTTGTAATATGTATGTCTTACTAGGCCTGATATAGCACATGTTGTCAATAAAGTAAGCCAATAAACCTCATGACGTACATTGGAAAGTTGTCAAGAGGATTTTTGAGGTACTTGTGTGGCACTATTGATCATGGGCTAGTGTTTAAAAATAATGAATCTTTCAATTTGGTGTGTTACGATGATGTTGATTGGGTATCATCAGTTGAAGACATGAGGTTTACCACAGGATTTTATATTTTTCTAAGGTCAAATCTGGTTGCCTAGAGTTCAAATATGTAGGCTTTCGTTTTCAGGTCCACCTCTAAAGTTGAGTATAGAAGCCTTGTTAACGTTGTTTCAAAATTGGTTTGGGTGGAACACGTGTTGAAAGAAATTGGTGTTCGAATTCTAGAAGTACTAGTGGTTTGGTGTGATATTACATCCACTATGTCAATGGCAGTAAATCGCATTCATCATGCTAGAATCAAGTATGTTGAGATTGATTACCATTTTATTAAAAAAAAAGTGTTAGCAAATCAGCTTGATGTTAACTATATTCCTGTTGTAGAGCAGGTGATTAATATTTTAACTAAGTTAATTCCCCCTCGATGTTTGATGTTATGAGGAACATGCTTGGTGTTTTGACTCTTGTAAAAGTTCAACGAAAAGAGAAAATCATGAGACTGATAGAGTAACAGTATTGTAACTAAAAGTTGTCAGTTGTTATAACCGTTTGGGCTTGTCTGTTGTAGGTCAGATGTTTACTAGGGTTTTCTATAAATCTTTTCTCTATTCTATTGGTTCATTTTATGGATTATGAATATAATAAAAATCAAATGTTGAAATTCTCTATAAACTCTTCTTTATTTTTATTCTTCTTCTGTGAAATTTTATTCTAAGTTCAATTACTTTTCTCTTTGGTGGCTCGTAAGAGATCATTTTGTAATTTGTTATATGATTTATTGTTTAAAATCTTGATGTATGTCATTGGGAGTTTTATAGTAGATTTTTTACAACTTCAATCAATCTTCATAGCTTTTTATGTAATTGTAAAGAGCTGATTTATCCTTGTTAATGTTTAACTTTATATGTATAAATTATTTTTATAAGAAATACTTGAAGACTGAAAACCCACAAACATTATTGAGCAAAAGTTTGTTGAGTTATTTTAGAAGATTCTTTGGTGATGTTAATATAAAGTGTAAGATGTTATTTTATGCTTTTGAAAAAGGTGCTATTAAAGTTATTTATGTCATAGGCATTTAATTGTTGCACATGAAAAGAGTATATACAAGAAGGTTATGACATTCTACCTACTCTGGGACCTTTACATTTGGGATCAAAGGATCATATTGTATTATCAATGTGTTATTACTTTCGATCTTTTTAGGATTTTTACATCAATACTTCTTTTAAAGATTCTCAAGGTCAATTGTTTTTGCGGTAGGAAATCTATGAGGGCGTTATATTTTAACCTAAATTATAATTATTAATTTAGTCAATTTTTATTATAGTTTTAATGGCTAAAGATTTCTTGATAATTAAGATTATTTAATAAGTAAATACTTATTTTAGACAAGAATTCTTATTATATAAGAATTCTTGGTGACCAAGTATTTGACTCTATAAATATAAAATATGTCTTAACCATTAGAAAGATGATAGATAAGATTTCGGAGAAATATAATCTTTTTTGTATTCTCAGCATATTTTAGAGTTTATGTTGCATATATCAATTTTGTAAGGATATTGAGAGAGTGATTTGTGATACCCTTCATTTTAGTATAAATATTGGATTTATGGATACATCTAATATATTGTATTTGTACCCTTCGTGATTCCTACATAACTTTATAGTTGATTATTGTTCTTACCCATAATGGTAGACAAGATCAAACCACATTAAATCATATCTCATGCAAAAGTCTTATTTTATATTGATATCACTTTGATTATTTTTTTTCTCCTAATTTCTTAATGGAGGGGAACTCCATAATAAATGTTGTTAATAGTCTTAGTATTCACAAAACTCTTACTTTATTTGTTTGATCAATTTCGATGAACGATCATGTTTTCTAAGATAGTTTTTACAACCTCTTCAACAATGGATCAATTGAATCCGATCGGTTAATTTTTAGGGTAAACTATACATTTAGTATTTTAATTATCACTTTTATTTCGTTTTCATCATTTAATTATTTTTTTGTAAATTATACTTAATGTTTAGTTTTGGTTTTATTTTGGTCAGTGGTTGTTAAAAAATTAACAGTGATACTAACGTATCACCATAAAATAATTTCATATCATCATTGAAAAATAAAAAAATGGCATGTCAACAATAGTTTAAGAGAAACTCAAAATATAATAAAGAGAACTATAACTGTTTTGTGCATTATTTTGCCCTTGTTATTGAGGTTTGCTATTTTCCATGAGTTTCCATGCTTGTAGGGTTTTGTCCCACACGATGCCATAGTTATTATAGTGAAAACTTGGCTTTATGAAACCAAATGTGTCCCCCTCGCCCTTCCCATGGAAATTAAAGGTTCTGCCAAATGTATAAGATAACTGCAATTTATTAACATTAGATAAGAGATCTCAAAAGAGAAGACAAGGAACATTAAATCCCATGTTAGAAGAGAAAGGTTAATGATATCATAGTGGCCTTAGTTTGAGGATGATGACACCATTTGTGTTTCCAAAGCTAATCAATAGAAACAAGCAAAGCCTTTTTAATGATTCAACTCCCCTTGAAAGCTTTTTGCCCAATAACTCCAAATTCCAAATCACCACACATGAAATCAACACAGACCATACTGTCTCTATATATCACCCTTATAAATCTTAAAATTCACTTATATTTTACTATATTTTATCTTTTTTATTTTTTATTTAATTTTTTATTCTTTAACATTATATAATTTTAACGTCCCCTAAATTTTTAATAAAATTTCATAAATTCACGTCTCTTAACATAAATTCTTACGTCTATCCCTCATGTATATATTTCTTCGGGTCACGAACAAAGTTGACCTCTATTTCCTTGCATGTTGTCCACATTCCAGAATAGTAACTCGTTTTTGCACCACGTCAACTATCATTATTGTTCCCCTAACTCTCTCCTTCCCTAATTCAAACTCTAAACTTCTCTATTCGATGAAGGCTTTAACCACCTCCGTTATTGTTCCCTTATTTCCTTATCGCCGTTGTTTTCAGTAGGGTGAAAAAATTAAACTTTTAGAAGTTTATAACTCAGTAAAAATATACCTTCTTTACTTACATGTAACCTTAATAAATTAAACAAAACTAACAATTCAGTAATCAAATGATCTTTCAAAACAAATTATAATAAACCAATAACATAATATTTTTTTTCAAAATTGATCATCAAAGTTGGAATCAAAATGAAAGTGACCAAATTTTTGTTTCACCCATTTTAGGCAGACCTTAATTTGATAATAAAATTGAAGTCCTAGCAACTTTGAGATACTAAGTTGGAACCTCTAACATACATTATCGTGTACAAATTCAATTCTAAATTAATTTCGATGTAAATTTTATCCGAATTTATTCTATTTTATGTAATATGACCCGGTAACTTCAAAAAGTTTAAAGCTCTTTTTTAAGAAAGGTACGTTTTCATCATGATTTTTCACAATTTTTAATGCCAAAAGCTATAAATTCTTTCACAATCGCAATTACAACATAATCTGCAACGTCCCCTTCAAAGGGACATTTCTTTTTCAAACCGATCATATGCCAAAACTCTCTGACCTCTATGAATTTATGGAAGGAACACCAGAGGGCATGATTTCCCCTAATATCCAAACATGTATTCCATGACTTTGGCCCCTAGCGATTTTGTAGGGTTTGCAATAGCTGCGCCTCCTGAATGACGTGCGTTGGCATTGCCATTTTGAAGATAGTAAGGGCGCGATGGTCGGAAATTGTTCAGCTCCGATGTTCTACTCGATGGTGGGGGCAAAGTCATGAAACCCTGATTATTCATTCTTTCGTTTAGGGCCTCGCGTTGCATTGGATCCACTGACTTCACACCGACAATTAGTACTCCATTGATTTGCATTCCATTCTTGCTGAGAGCCTTCTGAGCATCAGACCGATTCTGTACCAAAATGAAAGCATGAAGGAAATCAACAGTTGGGCCCAAAACGATAAACACCAGCCACGATGTCAAAAAACCACAAATTAAAAGTCGAATTAAATCACTTAACATCACAGCTCATCTTCCAAAAGCAAAAAAAACAGCTTTAACAAGATTATATATGCTTTTATTTAACCAACAGGTTGCAAATGAGAAACCAGTCGATAGCGATCATTTTTAATATTAATGCCCAACTGGATTTACATTCTTTTATCTTCATGATATGTACTGATTTAGCAAGCAGGGATAGCACGCAACAAATAAAGATCGTGTCATGAAAAACACAATTCTGCAAAAACCAGACCAAAACCAAAACGATAGGTACGCAGAGTACATTAAAACTTGTATTGGGAGAAAGAAGATTCACCAGATAAAGAATGTGCATCCAGTTAGCATCCCTTGGACCAGGAACATGCTTCAATATCACACCACACTTTTCAAACTCTCGCAAAACTAAATTTGTATCCGAGGGAGAAAACCTGGAAAGAAGCAAATATTAAAGTCATGGGTCTGACATATACATACAAAAGCATGATCAGACCAAGAGTCTAACCCAAATGTTTAGATTGAACACGTTGTTCTACTAAACCAGAGAAACATTAAGAGATGTACCCAATCACCAAGTAGGTAAAAAGTTCAAATCTCAGCTGAGTCATATTAGAAGTCTACAGGTTGCAGACAGGGATGAACCGGGGGGGGGGGGGGAGGTTGACGGAGGCGGTCCCTCCCCCTGAAAGTTTTTTTTTGTTTGTATTTTCTACCGATAATCTGTCCCTCCTAAAATTTTATAAGCCCGCTCCTACTAAACATAGAATCATGTGTACAACCCAGGTTGTAGATATTGGACCAGATGACAGTACCCAAAGAAACCAAGAAACAAACAAGTGTTTCAATCCACAATACCAATTACCTACAACATTCAAGCAAATTACATATAAATAAATATATTTTAACTCAACATAAACGGTCAAATTATGGCAATGTGAAAATGATAGAAGGGTGACCAAAATGCAAAGAAGTGACTGGTTACATAATAAAATAAAAAGTTACACCAACAGCATGAGGTGCAGACACTACAAAACACAACAGAGGTTGATAGAGAAACATAAGACAAACATGCCAATTATTTGGTACAACATGGAAGTAGGGAGGACCATACCCGTAAACTGTGACCCATTCTTCCTCATCAAGATTGCCTGTGGGTACGCAATTCCTTTGTATTTCAGGCCTAGCAACCTCCCTTGGAGGCGGAAGTGTGATCAAAGCACCAGGCTGAACCACACCCTCGACAGGAGAACCCTTTCCCTTCTCATCCTGCTCGCTACCACTCATCTTTGCATGTGACCACCAACTCGAACTCGTAGCATTCAGCTGATTCTGCTGCCCATTAAGTATAACAAATGAAGTGCTTGCCCCTGACTTGGACTTTGCCAGAGTTAAGAAGTCATGTCCAGAACTTTGAACCGGACTTCTTTGGTCTGACTTGCATTCGGGAGACATAGGGTAATCCAATATCCCGGATTCAGGAGATAAATCCAAACGGTCTTCCAATGTGTACATAGGAGGAGGTGGAAGATCTGAACCTCCGAAATTCTCCTTCCATAGTGCTGAGACAGCAGCTGATTGACCTGGACTAGAGAATTTCCCTCTGCGGGCAGAGATTGGTGAAGCTAAATCTTGGAAAAACAAAGACTTACTCCCGGATTTCGGAGTTGTACGAATCGCAGTGCTCATTTCCTTTGATAATAGGAGCACTTGACAAAAAAGTTCTGTATGCATATCATGTCATTAGCTTCAACAAAACTTGATGTACCAACTAAACTATTACATACCCAAAATCATGTTTCAGTAGGCTCAACTCAACCACGAGAAAGTTTAAGATTTATCAGCAGAATATTAAACAACAAATAACAAATTTACACACACTATACACTTTGGTGGCCGAGAAAACTTGAAAGAAAACATCAGTAGTTAGGTAATTGAGAAACATTGTTTTTACTTTTGTTTCGAGTTTATTTCTAGATAGCTTACTTTTTCTCTTCTCATATTTACTTCAATTTTCCACATATACCATTTTTGCAGCTTAATTCACTAAACAAAGATAAAACATGAAATTAAATAGACGGAGAGCGAGAGAGAGAGAGAGAGAGTACCTTGAGTTGAGGTCCGTCGGAAATTTTCCCAAATTGAAGGGCCGCAGAAGGTTGCCCTTCAAAACAACAGTGAAGGAAGTTTATATTGGAAACCCTAAACCACGGATTCGATTTTCAAATTTGGATTTGAGTTTCAAATTTGGGATTTCGAATACTGTTAGAGTCATTTGAAAATTACGTAAATGTCCTTTGATTTTCCGGTTATTAAGGTTGTTTTCGCCATTTAACATACTTGTGATTTTCAATTTTTTATAAAATGAAAATAAATATTCTAAATTTAACGTTATGAATAAAAAATTAAATTATGATAAACATCGCATAATATATTTGATCTATATTAATAAACTAAATATCAATAACAACATAAGAAAGATTGAATAAAAATTTCTTTTAATTGAAATCTTAAGATTGAATAACATTTTTAGCCCTATAATTTAATTTTATTAATTTAGTATTTTAATCTTAAAATTTTAATCGTGTCTCTCTCGGTTTATAAATTTTAATTTTAATATATTTTTATAAAAATATTATATTATAATAAAATAATAAATAAAGTTATAAAATAAACTACAAGAATGGTTATATATCTTTTATATTTGTACTAATCAATTCATTAAATTTAGAAAAATTAAGTTTTGATTATTTACGTTGTCGTTTTATTAAGTTTATGTCATTGTGACATTGAGTATCGTTAATTTGATGATGTGATATGTTACTAAAATTAATTAATTTTTATTTTAACCCTTTGAACTTAGATAAAATATTAATTATAAAGTTTTTTATAAATAGAAAGTAATTTAATGACAAGTGTCAACTTATCATTTTCTTTAGTTAAACTACTTGAATGACCACCCAATTATGGGTTTGGTATTGATATGACCACCATCTACAAAATTTCGTTAATATGACCACTTAAATATTTAATTAATTTTAATATAGCCACATGTCGTTAACATTTAATGAAAGTGCTTATATTACAATTAATAAAATTGATATAATTATATATTTCATCCTTAATACTTCCACATTCAATCAATTTGATCATAATTTTATTTTTATTTTATTTTATTATATTTTAATAATTGTACATATTTTATTAAATATTAAATTAAATTTATTTAAACTTTGTATTGAATACGATTAATAATATTTATTGTCAATAACCATTTTTTAATAATTAAATTTAAAAATAATTATGAATTTAGTTTGGAAATTTTGGATTTTGATGAAACTTAATTTGAATTGGAGTCGCCATCGACCTAAGTAGGTCGAATATCTAAAAAAAGTCTTTTAAAACAATTTTAAGAAAAAAATTATATTTTAAGACAAAAATTCAGTATGTGTTAACCAAAAAATCGTTTTAAAAGGTTTGAGAGTCGATTACGTGTGGGGAAGGGTAAACACAACGTCCAAAAAATTGATATCTAAACGCTTATACATCGTCATTCCAGTGGAATTTGCAAGTTCGAGTCACAAAATTAAAGTACGGTCCTTTTTATTAAAATTAATCAAGTTTATTTTTTGTTTGAATGTTGTGGAATCGTCATCCCACGGAGGGTATTTCATAATTCGGAGGTCTCTTACGGAAGCTGCTCTTAATCTGGTGTTGGGGGTAGCCTACTATCTTACCTCCCCTTGTCCCATACATATGGGAAAAAGGGACCGCCATTTTTTATGGAATCGTACCACTTTTAACAAGTTGTACTTTTTGCGCCTATTCTTTGTTAAATGTTCTTGAAAGTACATCGAGCAAAATATTTCTAAAATATACCGACATAGGAAAATTTTAAAAATAGTAATAATAAAAAATAGTAAAATATATACAAACATATAAGGGTTACGAATTATTAAATAAGTAAATATATATAATATAATATATACGTACGTAAGGAAAAATGAATAGAAAAAAATACATTTATCATATATGTAACTAATTAAACTAAAGCAACTGTTTAAAAGTAATGTGTATGGACATATAGGGTACAAATGCGTATATAAAATATAAATAAAGTACGAAACATAATTCATATATAAAGTATAAATATATTAAACAAAAAACTTATTATTTTCTTTACGCGTAACTAAATAACTTATTATTTTATATAATATAATGTACATATACAAATAGACATACGGGTAATAAAAAAAAGCATGTAATACTTAGAGGTGGCAAACGGGTCATTTGGATCGGGTTTAGATCGGTTCATTTTGAGTCGGGTTAATTCGGGTCTAGATTAAATTTGGTTTAATTTTATAAAGATTAGATCGGATCTGGTTTGGATCTAGTTCGGATGTACGGTGAATTGGATCGGGTCGGGTCAATTTTCGAGTTGGTTGATTATTGGAACGGTTTTTTTTTGCTCTAATCAATATCAGATCGGTTGATTTTTGGATTGAGTCAATATTGTGTTTGGTCAACACCGGATCAATTGCTTTTTGGGTCAGGTTAATACCATATCAGTTAGATTTCGGGTCAAGTCTGTCGAAATGATTTTTTAATTTAAAAAAACAAATTTAACTTTTAATTTTTTTAATTAAAGAATGTGATTTAAAAATCTCGTCTCGAATAATTTGGGATTTCTTTATAAAAGTAAATTAAAAAAGGTTCGAGGAGTCGCCATCAATATTTGATTAGGGTGTGATTGGGCACCCAAAATGCTTTGTCATTTTAATAAGATTTAATTTTTAAAAAATATAAAAGCAACGTTTTAAGGTCTGCGCACCAAAAATTGAGTTCGAGAGTCGATTACGCTTGGGGAAGGATTAACACCTCCACAGCGTCCTAAATCGGTACTTAATCGATTAATTAATTATCTTTGCAATAAAATCTACAAGTTAGAATTTAATTTAATTTAAGATCACTTTCAACAATATTCTTTGAATTTTAGGAAAAAATGACAATATTTAATTATCTCATATCGAGAAGAAATGACATCTCATATCTTAAAGGAGACAATTCTTACTCTAATCGAAATAAAGAAATATTGACATTTTTCGTCCTAAAATTCAAAGAATATTGTTTAAAGGGACCTTAAATTAAAGTAAATTATAACTTGTAGATTTCATTGCAAAGACAATTAATTAATCGATTATGTACCAATTTAGGGCGTTGTGGGGGTATTAATCATTCCCCACTTGTAATTGACTCCTGAACTCAATTTTTGGTGCACATACCTTAAAACGTTGTTTTAATTTTTTTTTAAATTAAATCTTATTAAAATGACAAATATTTTGAGTGCCCAATCACACCCTAAATAAATATTGGCGCCGACTCCTCGAACCGTTTTTTTAATTTACTTTTAAAAGAGAATCTCAAATTATTCGAGGCGAGATTTTTAAATCACATTCTTTAATTAAAAAATTAAAAGTTAAATTTGTTTTTTAAAAATCAAATTTTGTTTCGACAGCTTGGCGACTCCACTGGGATTTTTTTAGAAAGTTAGGCCGATAGTCAATTAATCAATTGTCTTTGCAAATGAAAATTACAAGTTCGTTCTAATTTGGTTTTTGATCCCTTGTTTGGTTTTAAATAAATTTTTGTTTGCAATTTGATTAATCACTAAATAGTTGTACTGATTTGCTTGCTAATGTTTTCAGATTAATTGTGTGTGTTTTGCAATTGAGGGATGAGTTGCGTGTTGTATGATTGTGTGTGTTTTCCTCTTTTCCTCACACACTAGACACTTACATTATCATAACATGAGCTAAAACCTCGCTCTGTTATTTTTAAGTAGGAGTGAGAAACTACTCCCTTGTGTGGTTTTCACCTCCGTATGGGATATTGGATCACTCGTGGGGCTCACATGTAACACCCCTAACCCGTACCCGACCCGGATACGAATCCAATGTGTCACATTGACTTTTCAAACATTGATTCATAACAAATAAGGAAAAATTTAACTTTTATTCATATTAACAAGGTGAAACTCTTTAACTTAAATAAAATGTAAAACTCACATTCATACTTAATAAAAGCCTTTAATAATTTACATAAATACAAAGTAAGAGTTTACAAAAATAGATCGGAGCGTTTCAAATTAAATGTATAGTACATGCCAACAGTTTATAAAATTTCTGAAAACCTACATTCAATTTGTCTTGAACTGATCTTCAAGGGAGTATGCTATCCTCGACAAGCTTCACTCTTCTGGTTTCTTCAAACCTACGTATGAAACAATCACATGCTAAGTCGATGACTTAGTGAGGCAATTACGAGCAACTAAAGTTATATAGTCCAAATCTTTATTTATTTCATAGAAACATTTCATAAGGATTTCAAATGATTCTCCATAACAAGAATGTATGTTGTTATACATTATTCGTTTTATATATTTTGTTTTCAATACCTAACGTATACTACTAAAAACTCTAGGTATTTGAGTACATTGAGGTTATGCACTAATGTTGTCACCACAGCTCGCATAATTTGCACTGAAGTTCCACATAATTGTCCCGAAGGACCACATAATTTGTCCAGAAGGACCACATAGGTTTTGTCCCGGAGGACCACATAGAACCCTCCACTCTTGGCATGCCAACTATACCTCTAATCCTCATACATATACCTTGGGCTTTTAACCACATGATTATTTATCATTCATTATTCGAAGTATATCTTATTCACATCGACACTTTCACATCGAATATCTTCGTATTCACATTTCACATTTTCATACTTATGCATCCATAAACATCAAAACATAGCTTAAATAATATAACTTGAATAAAACATTGTAAAAATATTAAATAAAAGAATTTGAAAGGTTTTCAATCGAAAACTTTGAGGTTGGCTTATCGCAAGTTGCCCTTGAATATAATATAAAACCAATGAGTTGCATTCACCTTTGCCTTACTGAAGTCCTAAACAAAGTCCTTAACAATTTTGATCGAAACTTATAATGTCGAGTTGACCAGAAGTTGATTTCGTTCAAAATCTATACAAAACAATCGAAAATAAATATCGGAATTCAAATCACTTATACCCAATCATAATAACTTAAGTTGAAAGAAACACTTAATTTCTCATTTTATGCTTAATAGTATCGATACTCCCACTTCAGTACCGATACTTCCCTTCTATGGTATCGATACCCCTTCGGTAACGAT